CAAAAAACGTCCTATTTTCGAAATTTTTCGCGATTATAATACTAATACGTATATAATAATAATCACCCAGTGGCATAGGAAGTGAAAGGAGAAGAGGAAATAAAAGAGTTGTATTTAGATTTTGTTAGAATCAATTTTGGGTGTACTAAAAGTCGTCCAAATACCTTGAGATGTTGTCAGTTCTGTAGATGCTGAAAGACGTGGTGACAACCGCAGACTCTCCGACAGGCGGAGCAAGATATTTCAGTGATATAGACAGCATATTAAAGCGTTCGAAATACTTGAATTACAATTTTTACGATCTCAGAAATTCCCTCGCTTGTAGAGCTTGGACTTCTTAATTGTTGAAGTCAACTGGTTGATTATTTTGGCTTACAATACAAATAACTTGGGAATATAACTCAACCAGATACGTACTTAGACGCTAATCGAATAAGTACATTCAACAATTTTGTTAACCAGAATGTGGTATCGAATTACAATAAAGCTCGTTTGCGCTGACTGAGGTGTTTCACTTTTACAACTTTTTGTTTCAATTTGCGTTTGGAACCAAGCTTGACAACAATGTGGATGCATGCCAGAATGAGTTGCGGTGTAACCAAGGCCGACACAAATAATATTGTTGTCATTATATAATTATGGCATATGGATGCTGTGTGCTATAAACACTAAGCGAAATAAAATTCGCTACTTCCTGCTATTTTGTATTCACATATCTCATAAAATACAGATATGTGGTAGAATATTCGTACCCTTATATTTTTTCTTATGATCTGTTTAGTGTCCTTACATATTGCAAAATCTTTCGTAAGCATGTGCGCCCACAGAGAAGTGCCAGGCGGTATTTAGCCTGCTTTTGTGTACAATATTTGGATTTTTACCTTTCCCCCCTTCCCCACTTGAGAAAATTTGCTCCCCCGCTCTTCAAAAATGTTTGGCTGCTGATATAGTCTAAGATGCGAAATAGAAACTCATCAATCTGTGTAATAATGTTAGACAATATATCGTCAGTGGGTTGGCTAAGAAATTCCTGGCGAGACTATGATAAATTAAAAACTGAAAAATAACTTTTTATTAAACAAAATTAATATGTATAACAAAATAATAACACTCTATATAGGGCGGTAGGTCATAGTTTGAGTCACAGATTATTAGCTATACTACAGGTAATGCTCTCCCTTATGATTTCTAGTACTATCGTTAACAGCCGTCCACTAACCTATAATACGAGCCCCTTCCCACGTCAGTTGGCCCACTTCAAGATTTGTACCAAAATATGCCTTTATAAACTAAACATGATGAAACTGTTTACTTCTAAAACAATTTATTTTCTCAAACACATTTTAGATACACTCTAGTCCTAAAAAATAGATATTTTAAATCACATAGACCTATAACTAATAGAACATCTGAACAAATAAACAATGTGCGAATAAATGCACGAAGTTAACAGAGCAACAATTGAAAGATTACCATTGGGTAACATCACCTTTATTTTTTATTATGGCTGAAATTCTTTGGGGCATAGTGTTAATCAAGTTTTGCAAAAGTTTGGTGTAAAACAATCCCATACTTTTTCATCTCGTGCCAAAAGTTTCAATAGGTGACAGATCTGGACTGCTAGAAACCTATTTCAAAAGTGGTACATTATTTTCTTCCATCCATTTTATAGCCTTTTTTGAGGTATGGCACGCTGCACCATCTTGCTGAAACACAAAATCTTGGCCGGATGTCAAACATTCTTCCATCACTGGTAAAAGCGATTCGTCTAAAATTGCCAAATATTTGTTTGTATCCACATTTCCTACTCCTTTTGATGACATACTGCCCCAGACCATAATGGATGCTGGAAATTTCACTTTTCTCTTCAGACAGTCAACATGGAATGCTTCATTTTTTTGCGAATAACTCTACTGCGACTGTCACCAACACAAACTTAGAATCGGGCCTCATCACTCCATTGTATTGCACACCATTGCTGAAGTGTCCATTGTCTATGTTCTTTAGCCCATCTAAGCCGATTTTTCTTTTGCAGTGGAGTTGAAAGTGGCTTTTCTTTGGCCTATAAATAAGTTGTGCAACTTTAGGGTTTTTACTTCACTTTTTTTTTATAAGAAAACTTACATTGCAAGTGCTAAATCCCAGTTTGTGGGCCTCTGTATGAGTTGTGGACCTCGAAATTTTCCTTCCAACAGCGTCACTCCACAGAGCACATAATTGTAAATAATTGGCATGCCTGTTTTTCACGATTATTCTTCTTAATGCTCTTCGATCGGCATTTGTGATATTACTTTTTTCCACATATCGTGGCTTAATATTAACTGAAGCAGTTACGTTATATCTTCTAACAATATTTCTCACACTGTACCGCGATAAGTCTAACAAAGTTGCAATTTCTGAGTTTGATTTCCCAGAATTAAAAAATTTAATTAACAGTAACCGAATTTTCTCACTAATAACCTTTCCTCTAACCATTTTGAAAACCTTAACTACCCAAAACTATTTTAAACGTATTCTGACAGCTGTGATTAATAAAAACAATTATTGTCATGGCTTTTATTTTTCACGGCCACCTATGCGTTATAGACTTATTTTGCATTGAAATGAAAATAGGTTGATATGTGTGTGTTATTTTTATGCTGCAAATTTGATTAGGGAGTGATAAAGTTGGTGTTTTTTACTATATATTATCAAAATATTCATTGTTAATATTTTAAACCTATAACACCCTGCTACATTTTTATTTTTTGTGTATGATAAGAAAAAAACTAAGATTTCAATAGTTGGGCCAACTGAAGTGGGAAGGGGCTCGTAAACGAAACGAAGACGACTTCGAATCACAGGCTACATTCAGATCTCAGTATTCCTCCTCTCAGTGAGTTGATCAAAGTACTTGCAACTAAAGCATATACAAATGCAGACAGCCAATCTAACCCTCTGGTAAGGGAGGCTGTGAATTACTCTGTATTTGATGTTCAAAAACACAAACGTCCAAGGTTAGCGCTACAATAAAATTAATGCACCTCTATTGATAGCTGTGTTTCTATTCACAATTTCTATTATGTACTAATCTCATTAGTTTAGGTTTGCGCCCCTTCTGCAAGGACCTTTTCATTTGAAAAAACGAGCTAAAGACCCTGCTCGGAAAAAACGACAAAATGTCAACTTGCTGCAGAGAATAATCAAATTCAAGCGGATAACCAAATGAAAATGGTATTTACCATTTTGGGTTGGTATTTACCGATCCGTTCAAGCGAGTGTGGTTATCAGCTTGGTTATAAGATCCGTGACGTCATGAATCAGCTGTTATATGTCATAGTTATCACCGCAAAATTGTGGTATTTACCCAACTCGGGAGTAGTTTTATATTTCTGGTTATTATTTGAAATGAGACAAGTTAGAATTTTACCGGGTATTGGATATTGTTATTGCACTTCAGCTTCATTTTTGAGAAACTTGATACAAGCTGACTTCAGTTTTACCACAAAGTGGAGCGCCTTATTGGTTATACTCATTACTGTTGTTGGGGACACTTTAAATGTAGTTCCTAACTTTAACAAAGTATCCTGTGTAGCCATATACCACAATAATATTAAAATATGGCCATATAAACTCACTAGATGATGTCCACCTGTATACGGTTTTGCTAATTCCTGTTTTCATCATTTCTGCTGAATCAATAAATTTTTTCTTTGACATGCGGAAAACTTTAGAGAATTGAAAGTTATCATAGCAACAAAGCCATGGTTCCATCATTAAAAAAAAATTTCTGAAAAAAAAATAATCAGATTATATACGCGCTTTTCTAAAATAAACAACTTGCAACAAAACCGCGGTTAAAACCAACGCGTTCAAGCGATTCCTGTAACTGACGTCATCAAGCCGTGTGTCATCTTGAATCATATTATAACCGCGGCACACAACACAGAAATTTTGGTTATTCGCTTGGATATGATTATAGTTCCTAGTGAGCAAATTCGCTATGAGCGCTGAGCGCGTCCATCTATGGAGAAATGACTCAACGACACAAGATCAGTGACCATGCTGCAAGCTGCAAGTCAGTTCCCCATCATGCTTTGTTGGTTGCAGAGTGCCGAGATAGTCTGTAGAGTGTACTGTGAGATATATGGCTGAGTAGCAGAGTAGCAAAGTGGCATCTGTATGATTGTGTGTTTTGGTCTGCATGTGTATAAAATCAGTGATATTTGCTATGTGAGAAAATTATGACCATTAAATATATCTATCAGCTGTGCCAGATGGGTTATTTGTGTTGTCCTTTCTGAAGAGAGGTTATGTTCAAAGTTATACATTACGATTTTCCCCGTTTTTGCGTTTTCACAAACTTTAAGAAGCATTACGGGAAATCAGCACCACTACTGCGTTGTGTGTAATTAATCCACATCACAAAAAAATTAGGAATGACGCAGCACCTACAAATCATTTTCGCACTGCCTCACATCTAGGCGTTGATTTGTATATATTTTCTACTTGACACCGTACATTTCTATACGATTTAAATGAATGGAAATAAAACTCAATGTGAAATGTAATACATTTTTTAAGTTTCACAGATATTCCATACTTCACCAACAAGGGATTTCTTCTTATCGCTCTCTTTTTTGAAACTCAGCAAATTTGCATTTGCTTGTAATTTCCAGGTTCAATAATAAAAAGCGGATGCACAACTAATTTTTAGCTTTCCATATATCTCAAGTAAGTGTATTTGAGACAAGAAACCAATCGAATTATCATCAACACATATTTTTAGAATACAAATCTTCACTATGCACATATGCACTGCCGTTTCCTTGCAGCTTAGACCTCCAATAATGAAGCATCATGACGTTTAGCAACACGTACAGCTACGGAAAGACTACACAACAAGTGTACCACACATAAGTTCACACCTTGTAGAAAAACATACATAATGTTACAAAAAACCTATATAATGTAAAAAACTGACATAATGCCACATTTCAAGATGCCTTATACCTTTGCAGGTCAGGTCAGAAACGAAGACGACGATTGTTTCCAGTCTCGCCTACTCCTTCTGTTATCCGCGGATTGCATTATACAAATGTATACAGGTTGTTCTTAGTTATGGTAACTTAAAAATATGTATTCTTTATAGGAATTGTTCTCCATTATTGGCCCAAGAAACAAGCTTAAAAATCGCTCCAAAATAAACTAATTTCACAATATCCTACGAGGTCTTGCAGAGCTAGGTTTTATCTTTAATTTAGATAGATACTTGTCGACCTCAAAAACTACAAACAGGCATTATATCCCCTAGAAAGCGGTCAACCTAGAGAAAAGTTACTGCAGGCCTTTTTTCTTCAGAATAATCTAAAGAGCATGAATAGAATTTATCCGGATGAAAAAAAAAACATGTTTTGTAATTTATTCAAATAAAATTGTTTAAACCAACTTCCAATTCCATGCAACTTGCTGTTGAAAAAAATAAGTAACAACTTCCCGAAGTCTTATTTCGGTACCCTATGAAGGTCCGTGAAATTTTTGTCTCCCTACATGATGTAGAGTAAATTTTCAATGCTTAAAAAAATGTGTACACCGTTCCGATCAACATTTAAATCGTCAAGTTTGCATTTTAGCATCAAAATTCTAGGTTTGATTAATTTTTATCATTTCACCTCAGCACGCGATGTAATCAAAAATTTGCGGATCTTGCGAAGTTGCGGCAAGCGAGCTTAAAAGCATGGTAGGCTTATAATGTAATTTGTAGCTTTCGAAGAACACTCAAGGAAAATCTGGGAAATTTGTCAGCTACAGTTACTTATTCCACACTGATCAAATCATGTCTTGATGATCTTGATGAACAGATGTTGGAATATTAGATGAGGCGAAAACTTCGCATTCGCGGCGAGAAGTGTACCAACTTGTGTTTTTTATAATCACATTTATTGAATGTCCCTTAAAATGAAACAAGATGCAGCTGCTTAACACTTATAAAATTTGTTTAAACAATTAAAAAAATGTTTTTGTTAGTTTTTCTTGACAAAAAGTTCCTCCAGTATGTATGTCTTATGATCGTATCGTTGTGATAAGAAATGGTTAAAAAGTGTTTATTTTTACGTGACTTAGGCGGTTTCTTAATTGAATTGAAAAATCTTCGACCATCTCAAAAGAACGTAACCTACATCATTCTATTTTTGCCTTCTTGGCACAGTGCATCTGTTCGAACTGTGACGTGTTCGAGCTGGCTGTTTTTCTACTGAAACAATAACAAGGGGAAAGTTGATATATAGTTAAAGCCAAGGATATGGCGATCGTGAAAACAGCTGGATTTTTCTCGCCAATAGGTTTAGATAACTCGAATGTTTGGAAAATAGTTTTGACCCAATCAAACCCTGTAGGTGGCATATATTTTAAACAACTCGTATAGGAATTAAACAAATGACACTATTGAATTTTTGAGACCTGACTTCATTTTTAATACCGCTCAAAATGAATTTGAAAGAACGGAAAATTGGTAGTTATTACTCCGAGAGGTTATAGCACCTTGGCATATCATCATTTTTTCATTACTAGAATGCTTTCATTTTAGAGCGCCGTTAAATGATTTTTATTATAAAGTCCATAACTACAAATAATTATAATTTTAATCTTTAGCATTCTGGAGGGGGAAGGGCTTAGAAGAGAGAATAATAACAATCTTTTTCCGACAGCAGGGTTGAAAATAAAAATGTTTAAAAAAGCAAAAATCATGTTTTTTTTTTGTTTAAAACGGTTTTTTTTGTTTAAAACATTAAAATTTATCTGAAAAAAAAAACAAAATTATTGCCTATATAATCTAATTTGATCCAGCTCTATCAGAGCACATCTCTAATTTAAAAGCGGACATCCAGAAACTACCGTGCAGACGTCGGGGAAGTACCGTTTGCCTTTGGGTAATTTTTCGCTTTGCGATCTCCAGCAGTCAAATGTGCGAAGCCGTAGCGTGGTGGTGTGATTGATTTTTTTTATGCATTAAAGATAGGCAAAAAAAGGAAGACAATGACAGGGAGGAGAAAGGATCCCGTGTGAAAATATTTTAAGAAGATTGATGCCAAAGCTGGGTCGAAAATAAATAAAAGAGCAAACTGTTTAACCTGCAGTATGGATATACTGCCACTGGTGGCTAGAATGCGCAAGCATATTAAAAATTGTAAACAACTTAAACAAGGAAGTTTGTTAGAAAAACAAAATATTCATATATCAGATAGTTCTGATACCGACAATGATGATGTTTCTATCGAATCTATTTCCTCAAAGTTAAGTAGCTTGGAGAATTGTGAAAAAGGTACCTTTTTTACTTGGAGTTCCGTAAAAAGTAGTGAAAACTAAACATGTATTCTTTATACATGTTCCACGATTTTATATTTTAAAAATATCGATTTAACGATTTTTTGTTAAATAAGATAGGTTGTATACTTTTATAGAAATTTGTTAAGTAACTTATTTAATGTTATTATACAAGTAAATACATAGTCATATTATATGATTATTCTGCTGCTTGTAGAGTATTAGAGTATTAGAGTTCATTGCAGTTTATTAAGTTCACTCGTTCGTTAAGAAACATATATTTTTTTCCACTAGTATTAGTTCCCTAGTTTCATGTTTAATTAATAAAAAATAAAGTATATTTTTTAGTACCTATGACCCTTTTGGTTACGTTTTGCAAAATAAAATTAATTTTAATCATACTTAAAAATATTGTAGCGTTTTTCTGGGTTCTTTTTGGTTGTGGATTAACACACTGGATTCCACAAAAAGAAATGCACTAATTTATTTAACTTGATAAAACATTTGTATGCACCACTATTTATGTCAGACTAATTCTTATGTCACCATTGACTCCACTATACTTCTCTTCGCTCTGCTACTCCACCGTATTCCGATATCTAGAATGTTGGAGATCACTTCGCGTCGATCTAGAAGGCGATCCACTGTCATGGTCCTTACAGCCGCCGCTAGGTGGCTGGTGCGGTCGTGATTCGCGTAAAAGTAGAGATCGACCATGAAGCTCTAGCGAGTAGGAGACTCGCCCAACAGATGGCGCCCTCAGTATGATTTGTCACAATATATAAAAAACGAATCATGTTTTAAACAGTTTAAAACAAATTAGTTTAAAGCACCTTCATTGTTTTAAACAGTATTTAAAACACTTGTTTTAAACATTTTGATTGAATCATAACAACCCTGTCCGACAGCCAGGCTGCGATAAAGGCACGAAGTGCCTGCAAGATTACTTCGAGCCTTGTATTGCAACGCTAGTTTAGCTGCGAGATATCCGGTATCGTTATTGTGGACCGGGGCACACTGGGATAAAGGGTCATGATGTGGCGGACGCTCTCGTGAAATCAGAATCAGCGGGCAAGCTTGTTGGTCCTGAGCCAGCCCTAGCGGTGCCCGCGCAAGGAGTCGGGAAGATAACGGAGAAGCAGAATTCTAGGCAACACTATTTGAAATGAAGAATTATCTCTAGACATCTCCGTCAGGCACTGGAGCTCACCTAAGGGACTAGTGCCAAGGATATGGACGGTTTTGCTTATCGTTGGACAGAGCCAATCTAAGGTTGGTGGTGGGACTATAACACGATGAGGCGTCACCTAGTTGTGATGGAGGTGGCTGAGGATGTGTGAGCGCTGAGGTGTATAGTAAGAGTTTGTGGCGCATGTTTGGTGTCGCTGCGAGGCTCTGAGCTACTACAGGCAGACTATACTGGGGTCCAATACTTTGGATCCCCAGAATGTTAACGAACTGGGACTCAAGGCTATACTCAACTTTGCTAGAAGGGCGGAGCTTGAGGCTTAGGGAATGTAGTGGTGCATAAGCGTCAGTTAATTAATTCATTCATTCATGGACTTCTTGTAAACTAATTTAAAATTGTATCATCACGTAACTCTTATCGTTTATTTCTAAAATAGTAACCAACATTTTATAAATATCCGCTTTTATTCTCGTAGATCCAGATCGGCAATATCTGGTCAAAAAGCTGTACTGACAGAGGCTGTGAAGGCCATCAAACCAGATGAAGTACAGAAGAGGCACGTCACCGGTGACGTCATCTCACCCGGTCAAGTAATGGGCATTGAACATCTGAGGGATCCCCGGTTGAACAAGGTAGGAAAATGTATGTACAATGCATTGAACATATTCAAATCTATGCCTAGGAATATTCGCTGATATATTGACGTAGGTACTTGGACACCAGGAAATGAAGAACCGATAATTCTACATCGAACCGGTAATTTCGGGACTACCTGTCGAAAGGAACCGGGAATCCCGAAATTTTCGGGAGCTTAGGCTCAAATTCAGTTTTGGTATTAAAATGAAGTTGAGATAGACTCTTCAGTGGTTCATTCCAATTCAATATCAAATGTTTGGCCTATTTAGTTAGTTTTAAGTACATATAGTAAAAAATGACACTACATTTCACTTATATTATTTCTTATAAGAAACAATATTCTCAACTCTTTAACAAACTAATAATTAGTGACCCGCAGAAAAATAGGCAATGCAAATCAGAATTTTAAATCATAAGTAGAATGAATAACTTTATTAAGAAGTTCCAGTTCCATTCGAACTTCCTGAAATTGCCGGGACTATTCCCTGGTTGACACCCAGCGAAGTACACGGAATATAAATATTACGATCACCCAGCGGCATCTGTTAGATATAATAGTCATATAATTACACGTTGGTAAGTTCAAATCCCGCCAATTAATTGAATACGACTTTTGTTCTTCGGGCGACCGCCCTATGACAGTAGTAAATTGATTCGCCTTGGAGGAAAAATTACGCGCAGTACGTCCAGTCGATGCTCTTCGTAGAAATATAGGCGTGCGGCGTATATTTTACCACGAGTTGGCGAAAATTTTAGTGGTGGCATTAGAAATAGGACACATTGCTTTTGCTTTTACTTTCCACGCCTACTGACGAGGAATTATTGTAATGGCGAAAAATTTTTAAAACAAACTATGTTTGTTGGTTGTTATATGACACGTACATCACGAAGAACCATGGCACTGATTTCTGTCGATCTGTCTGTCTGTCTGTGGCTCCATCTGTCTGTCTGTTTCTCTGTTCGTAATTCCTTGGCCCGTCAATAACTTGGAAGGTATCGCTCGGATTTGGACGACATTTTGGCACAAGGCTAATATAATACTATGCCAAGAACGAAAAAGCTTTGTAATTTTTAAAAAAGGCAAAAAAAAAATGAAAAAACAAACTACTCAAACTTCGTTTTTTGCCATTTCAGAGGATCATTTGCGTACACATTTTTGTAAAGGTTACAAATCGGGGCTTAAGGGTTACAGACGGTGGGGGAGGATATAACTAATTTTTTTGGGGATTGATGTAAGTATAATAATAATTCTAGATATATTTCACTCATCATAGATGTCCCCGTACGTGCCACGTGGTCTGGATGATGATCATGAGTCGTGCGGCAGTCACTTCCGAAATTAGTCATAGCAACGATCATGCGCGCCCGCAGAAATTTCTCTCGGGGGGAGGCGGAGATTCATTTAATTTTTCGTTATACAACATGCTCAGAAGGGATAACTTGTGCCGAACATAATTATTTTTCAACTGATGACAGCGTTGCGGGGGAAGTACAGAGTCGACTTACTTGACACCATTTTTTGTATCGAGTAAATTTAACGTAGCGTTTGATCCCTATGATAGTATCAAAGTAGGCTGCTCTTAATCCGATATATCTTCTCCTAGATATTCGGAACAAAAGGTTGTATTGCATTTATGATATCAGTCAAGGAAATTGTATTATCAAGAAGTAACTGATCCCAGTAATAAGATTATATTCATACATATTGCCCATACATTTGTCATTGAAACAGAAATATTTTCTCTAGTTACTATACTGTGGAACTTTCACCATATGTCGTAGTTAGTCAGGTATCGAACTCCTAGAATTGCGTGGGAAGTATAAAGTCAACCTATGTGACGCCATTTTTTAGCAGCATAATTGGTGCGGTAGCCTTTCAGCTGGAATGGCCGTTGCTAAACATACTAGTTTTTGGAAAGCGCCGTTAATTAAATTGAAACATGAAAGGTTTTCCGTGAATGACTTTACTTCTTGTCTGTACCTTTCGCAGATAGAGTTTGACCTTTATGAGAAATGATTCAAGGACATTTTCCGAAACCGAAAAATAAAGAGTCTGACTCGCGATGACATTTTTAAGTAGCTTAGGATAGAATTGCGTGAAAATGTTATTTGCAGAACGAAGTGTTGGCAGTTGCTATATTTTATCATGTTGAGACATTTAGTACGATTGCATGCAAATAATTCAGGAGGTCAATTGTTTGAGTTTGAGGAAAATCCATTATAATATATTTATGTAAGCTACGAGTACCTGAAAATGATGAATAACGATCTCATATTACCGCAACACTACTCCAATCTTATCTTTGTGCAAATAATATGGAAATACTTCACTTTCGTTACATTGTATAGATGGTTTAGATTATTAAAAACCAGGATCTAGTGAAGTGATTCACTTCGCTCTCACTATTCGTATTCTAGATACGGGCTCATTTTAATCGCATTTTTTCCTGGAGAGCTTATTTGGGCACGCATAATGTTTATGGGTTTGATTTTGCACATTTTTGATCCGGAAATATAGATCATGGTAGTGGTTTACTGTATAACTCAGCGATGTAAGAGATATGCACTATTGTAACTCAACCGTACTTCCACCAATCTCTTTTGGTGGTTACTTCCAGAATCCTATGTCGCTTGCCACACGTTCTATTTTTGAGACGCATGAGGTACTTTGTGTTTTCACCAAGTCAAAGACACTAGAACTTAATGAGGACAGTTGAAAAGGTTTATTTCTATAGATTTCCGACTAAAAAGATTTTAAAAGGCCAACTGACATGAGGTCACTGGATTTATATGCTGAGGCACTTCAGATTACCTAATTACTTAGAGCAGTGTTCCGCAAAGTAGGCAGTAAGGCACTATTGAGGGAGCTGGGTACCTACGGGGGGCGGTAAAGAGCCTAAAGGAAATTGGAATTGGCGTTGTTGAAAATTAATGGATAATTTTTGCCCCCGCTCATCAGTTCCAATAAGAACATTCGCTCTAACAAGCACCGATGCAGCAGAAGATGACCTAGACTATGATCGACTGTGGATGCGGTTTTAAACCTCCAAAATATTTTGCATATATATTTATAGTTTTCTGTTGAGTCTGCATTTACTGTATTACATGAAATATTGCCTTTTCCTTAATTATATAGTGGCGTAATGAAATTGAATACGTATTTGTTTTCTATCGTTCAATTGACATGCTCTTTTGTAAATATGGATCTCCATCGTAATGGATATTACCAATTATTGGATTTTCCTTCATGGACAAGGTGCTTTTTTATTACTCATGTTTGGTATAATCGATAATACCCACACATATTATCTTTTACACCTTTTCGATACATTTTACTTCCTAACTTTTCTGGTCAGCGATGTTGATCGTTTTAGGTAAAATGACATTGTTGTAAGTAAATTTGTTCGTATTGCTATAGCGGAAAATTTCGAAAATATGGATTAAGTCTTTCCGATGTTACGTAATCCTTGACCTTTCGGTAATTCGAAAAATAGTGCTGGAATTTTGATGCAATTTTGACGAAACTTTTCTGATATCTCAGCGACGAAAAAGTTGTAGAGTCAGTTATAGCGGTGGAGTTATGAGATGAAAACCAAAAATCGAGGTTCGAACTTTTTTCGCCCAACATAATCGTGAGAATTGATAGGCTCGATTTAGGCTATTTTACCATATTTATACCAAGTCCAAGTATCTTTTTTACATCTTCAATAAATTCATAAAAATGAAATAGTGGATCAATATTATTTTAAATCTTAGCCGTTTTAACCCTTCGATTGCCATGTAAACATTTATGAAAATGCTTGCTATCTTTCAACTAAAATAGTATAAATACATAATATGGTTAACATAAAAAGGGTTAAAAGTATTATAACTACCCCCACTTTATTTTAGGCGGGTGTCACCTACAGGTGTTGTATTAATCATGCTTAAGCAGTTTTTATAGTAAATTTATTTTACAAGATAGTTTATGTATTTATGTATAAGAAGCAATAAGAAAAAATAATATTTTCTGGACATTTTTATTTTAATTATGTACTAAACAGCTAAATGTGCTTGACATGTGACGTATGATCGGTGTTGTTAGGAAACAAAAATGTATAGTGATTAATTGGCTATACAGCAATTATAGAATGATAAAAAAATAAAACACCATTGTGGAAAAAAACGAATGTTCCATCACCTATACGTGACATTGTTCAAGGGTTAATCGTTTCTTGTCGATTATTTTGAAAAACTCTTTTGAACACTCTAGGTATCACAATATTATTTTTGTAAATAATCTATAAATTGGCACTCAGTAGTTTTAGTAGTGTAGAGCGCTTAAAGAAAAATTTCAAAATAGACAAAACGCATATAACGGTTAAAATTCAATAAACAGAAAGGCCGTTCTTCACCTACCTACCTTTCAGAACGTCACCAAAGTCTTTTGACAGTTTTTTTTCCATATTTCGCTTATTATTAATTTTCTGTGATATACTGAGTAAATTTTTTTACTTTACTTGATATTTTCGTTTGACGAACTTTGTTTCTTCCAGGGCTTAGCATTCACACTAGAAGAACGTCAGGCACTAGGTATTCACGGCCTCCAACCAGCCCGTTTTAAATCGCAAGAAGAGCAGCTGGAACTTTGTCGGATATCAATACAACGCTACCAAGAAGATCTGAACAAGTACCTGTACCTCACCGAATTACACGACAGAAACGAAAAATTATTCTTTCGGCTATTGTCAGAAAATATCGAGCATCTGATGCCCATAGTTTACACGCCAACGGTTGGGTTGGCATGTCAGAAGTTTGGGCTGATTTACCGGCGGCCAAGAGGTTTGTTCATCACGATCAACGATATCGGACATGTTTATGATGTCATAAAGAACTGGTGAGTTGTTTAAAGAGATTGTTGAGTCGAATAATGCAAGCCAAATTAAAATTGAATCCATATATTTCTCGGTGTTCAAGTTTAAGGATGATTTATAAACACCGACGTTGCTGAACCACTGGTGTACCGTAACCGTAACACTGCAGCTTGCAGGTAAAGTCATTTATAAACTTGCTAACGTTAACCTACCCCAAAAGTGTACTCTTTTTCACGTATTGAAAACCAAACTTGTCTGCAGATCAGATGCAGAGTATTCATCACTTATATCACATATCTGATAATTCACATTATTACTTAAATAAACTATATAAAATATAGCAAACAATGTCAAAGAAAGCCACGCTAATTGCAAAACAAAACATATGTCATGTCAAACAGAGTGAAAAGCGCGCTGAAACACCAGCTGATTTGTCGCAACAACACGTGATTTTTGTCGCAACAAACACGTGATTTGCAAGAACGGTAACTGAAAAAAGTTAAAACTTCGTCAAGGCTAGCGTCAATGTTGCGGATGAACGTTGCGGAATTCCAGTTTATAAACTATTTAACGTCAAGCGCGTGAAGCAAGCTCTGCGTTACGGTAGCGCTACGGCAGCGCTGCAGAACTTCTGAGTTTGTAAATCGACCTTTAGTGTCGTGAGCTGGAACAACATTATTTCAACGTCATGTAAATTCATGAGCTATCGCAAAAATCAGCAAGATGGCTGCATGAGGTGACAACCAGTGTGTTTCTATGTATATACCGTTCCGTTATCTCGAGCGTTTGCGTGAGGGCTCCCTACTTCACGTAAAGTGGCAGAAATGTGTTCTCAACTTTACATGCGAGGTCGCTGTTCCTTGCTATGATCATTAACGCAATGCTCTAATCAGTTGCTGTATTGGTTGTGTTATAAGTAACCATTATTATATGAGATAAATGTTTTTTTTCCATTTTGAAACAATGAAAATCTAATGTATCACAATAGGTCGCCGTAATGATTTGATGGTTGTTATGAGGTTAAAAATGTAATGATCAAACGACACTGCAGTTTATTCTAGTTTGTTGGAAAATAATATATTCTTAATTGCTTAACACTTAGTTTTTGGGAAGTAAAATTGTTAGCAAAAGAAAGAGCAAAACATATTTTAGTCTACTGGGCTTAACACCGTTTATTAGAAAACAAAAACACAAATGTTTGTGCTTGTACTTTATTTCATACTGATTCTTTTTGTAAAATTGGTTTTGCATTAGTTCGTGCCAAATTTTAAATTTTCAACCGCTACTTTACCCCTTTGAGGCTGAAATTTAGAAAAACTCTTCCTTAATACATGTTAAAAGGAAACTGCATTCCAAATTTCATGTATACACGTTCAGCGACTTGTTTGGGGACAATGATCAAGTCAGGTTATGTTCTTTTATGTATATGTACATAGATGCATTTTTTCTGATGTTCTTGGATATCTTAAAATCAACTATGTGTTTCATATTATACATTAGTTTGATACAAATTTTAGATACTATCACCATTTTATGTGATGCAGGCCAGAACCGAACGTGAAAGCCATCGTAGTGACAGATGGTGAACGTATTTTGGGTCTGGGCGATTTGGGCGCTTGTGGTATGGGTATTCCAGTGGGTAAACTTGCCCTTTATACTGCCTTAGCTGGTATCAAACCACACGAATGTCTCCCGATTGTACTGGACGTTGGCACAAATAATCAGGTTAGTTTCATTTCTTAAGTTACGTTACAAGAAATCTGAGCTCATTTAATCTGAATATACATATCTTTGTTTAATTATCGCTTGGACGTATTTAATTTATTGTTCTTCTGACTTCCATTATCTCTTGTGTTTTTCGAGGACAGGTCACTTAACGACGGCTCATTATTAATCAAAACTTGTCAATTTGGAAAAACATCCTATTGTAATGAAAACACCGTTTTTACTGCCCAAAATCTGATTTACTAATGTATAACACTTGCAACTTTACATTTACAACCATGTGGACTGGACTATGTTGACGCGTCAGTCGCTGCTCGTTCACTCTCGTCCTTCCGCTATTTCTGCCTATATTTATTGCCTTATCGACGAACCGAGAAATTTTCCAGCGTCTTACAGGCTCCTCCATGAGGTCGCAACCGCTCACTACAGCCGCAAGCTGCGATACATGATGGTATAACCCTGGCTGCCTAATTTAGCGAGGTTATCTTTTCGCTACTTAAGGTCCCAGTTACGAGGGTGCCACACTATGTATATGGATAAGGAATAGCTAGTGCATTTTTTTAGTCTAAAAGAGATCTTCAAATTTTTTTCTTTACAGAATCTTCTAGAAGATCCTCTGTACGTCGGACTAAGGCAAAGAAGAACAACGGGAAAATTGTACGACGATTTTGTCGACGAGTTCATGCAAGCTGTAGTGAAAAGATATGGCCAGAACACGCTGATTCAATTTGAAGATTTTGGCAACCACAACGCGTTCAGATTCTTAGACAAATACAGAGAAGAGTACTGTACATTCAACGACGATATCCAGGTAAGCAGATTAACTTATTATGTCAGAGGTCACGCAAGGATCAGAAATAGATCGCTGAGGCAGATCACTGGACTGATTGACAAATATCAGTTACATCGATAAGGGTTGAATTTTAGGGTACAGCAAGTGTAGCAGTGTCGGGCTTGATGGCTTCTAGGAGAGTGACTGGAAAAAAATTGACTGAAAACACGTTCCTGTTCCTTGGTGCTGGGGAAGCAGCAATCGGTATAGCTGATTTGACAGTAAAAGCTTTGGAAAATGAAGGTAGGCATATTTTATGAGTGTTATGCCAACATTAGTAATAGTTAGTAATACTATACCCAATTGCGTTCATTTCAGGTTTGACAGAGGAACAAGCTAGAGAAAGAATTTGGATGGTAGACATTGACGGTTTGTTGGCGGTAGATAGACCGGAAGGAAATCTGGAGGGACACAAGAAATTTTATGCCAAAAAACATCCTCCAATGAAGGACTTCAAAGCAGTTGTTGAAGAAATCAAACCGTCTATATTGATTGGTATGTGAATTCTTAGAGTTATGAATTTTGTCGATGTGTCGTGAAAAATTTGAGACCATACATTGGGCATGTATTGTCTAATTCGGGGTATACAGCGTGTCCCAAGCGTGCGAGGATAAAACAAAAAGTTTAAACAAATCTATTAATGGATTATTATATTACAAGGTATGATATTGCGGATTATTCTCTTCAAATAAATTGGTATAACACAGAAACGGTTCGAACAAACCATTAGCAACCATATATTAAAAAAATCCCATGAAAATGCGCATCCGATAGTACAAAAATATACAGGGTGTTCTATTTTTTTTTTGCGAAAAAGTACATTTTGTGTTTTTGATCACGCTGTATCGATAATTCGAAAATGAACGAAGTGGTTTAAAATTGAGTAAAAACAAAAAATTTACACAAATAAGTATGTTCTTTTAGATGGGCATATCCGAATGTGTGATACAAAGTAGGGCATTTTATTTCAGAAAAATTAACTTTGATATATGGGTCAAAATTGATAAAACATGTGTAATTGTCAATATTTTATAAATAAGCATCCAAATGTCATATCGTGCTTTTCTTTCATGTCCCCCTCCCCTTTGATTTTTCGAACTGATCAATTTAAAAAATTAAAACTTGAGGTGATGAAATTGATGCGTGAATACCATATTTCAGAGTAAAATTGACAGATGAAAATGTCAAGATGGCCGCTGGGCGCCATCTTGGAAAAAAATTATATGAAAACGGGGGTCTTGTGGTACATCATTTTGAAGCTCCTGACGAGTACCTTATAACCCTAGAATATAAAGTCCATACCTTTACCTACTAAAAAATGGCATTGACATTTAACTTGATAATTCGAATAAATACGTTGAGTTCAGTTTAGAAGATGCTGGAAATGGTTGCATTGAACTTGACACAATAACATAGTAACATCGATATTTCTAAAAATATTTGTTTCGTACACCTTTTGTTTCAAATAGCCCCATACAAAAAAGTCTAACGGTGTCAAATCTGGCGAGCGAGCTGGCCATTTCACAGGACCTCGACGGCCCAATCCAACGACCAGGAAAAATTATCTAAATAATTAATAACTTGTCTGTACGTAGTAGTGTGGTGGAGCATCATCTTACCGAAATACAATATCAGTATCGAATTCATTAGGATTCACTTCAACGATTTCGGTGATTAGATGGTCAATAGTATTTTCCAGCATATCCAAATACAGTTCGCCGGTTAAAGTTTGTTCGATGAATAGAGGCCCCACAATATGATTTCCCAATATCCCAGCCCAAACGTTAATTTTTTGTGGATATTGGGTATGAGTTTCCCGGAAGACGTGAGGATTGGTGACACTCGAATAACGACAATTTTGTCTATGCACATTACCGTTGAGAAAAAATGTACATTCAACACTAAAGCAAATATTTTGGATATAGGTAGGATGCCGTGCAATGGTTTCCGTCATAGTCTCGCAGTATTCTGTTCTTCGATCAGGGTCATCTTCAGTTAGCTGATGTACCATTTGAATTTTGTATGGGTGATACTTATTCCTTTTTAAAAGTCTCCATACAGTAGAAGAGCAAACCTCACATACATTCGCGATGGAGGAAGTAGACTGTTGGGGATTTACTATGATCTCACAAATTATTTGAACTTGATTTTCTTCCGGGATGGTCGGATGACCTGAGGGCTTTTTGTTGTTTACACTACCAGTAGCTGTACATTTAGATACAAGTTTCCTTAAATATTTTCTACAGATAGAACGATTTGTGAAACGATCATAAAAATCCTTTCGGTCTCGTGAAAGTTACGCGTCGCACCATAAATAAAAATCGCTTCGATTTTTTCTTCCAATGGGCGAGAATTGACCATTTAAAAAATAGTTCAAACAGTATCTAGCACTAAAACCGAAAACTAAATAAGGGTATTTTAACTATACAGTGATGTTTGTTTTCGTACTGATATTCTTGTCACTGTCAGCAAAAAATAACAAAACAAGTTTTTATCGCTGTTGCTGTGGATACTGCAGGAAATTACAATTATTTGTAGAGATATGCATGTTAGTGGGTTTGTGTTCAAGTAATTATTAAACGTACCACCATTTTGTAGTAGGTAAAGATATTGACTTTATATTCTAGGGTTATAAAGTACTCGCCAGGAGCTTCAAAATGATGTGCCACAAGAACCCCGTTTTCATATAATTTTTTTTTCCAAGATGGCGCCCAGCCTTGACATTTGTATCGGTCAATTTATCTCAAGTTTTAATTTTTTGAATTGATCCGTTCAAAAAATCAAAGGGGAGTGGGACATTAAAGAAAAGCACTGTATAACAATCACACTGCCTATGTTGTGCGAATGATTTTCGGAATTATGAAGAATGCTAATTATTCAAAAGTTAAAATTCTTAGTTTTTGTCCTCATTTCTCTTGTTGGTAGACGTGTCTAATAATGCGCTTTTTCAATAGGTGCTTCAGCAGCAGCTGGCGCGTTCACACCTGAAATATTGAGGATGATGGCGACATTCAACGAGAGGCCTATCGTTTTCGCACTGAGTAATCCTACCAGTAAAGCAGAATGCACGGCTGAACAGGCGTACACCAATACAGATGTACGTATCTATCAATGTTTTAGCTAGTTTTTGTTTAATCTAAAACAAATATTGAGTGAAATAAACAGAATCAACTGCACACTCCATATAAAAGGAAATGATTATTCTCAATATCACCCTGACTGATGTACTGGTCATTTAGCTTGAGGAGTATTAAGGATGTGAAGTTACTAAATTCGAAGTATTGCTTCTACAGGGTGCGGCAGAGAGGATGGACGGTTTTAAAAAAATCATAAACTAGTTAATTTTTACTCGAAAACAAATTTATTGATGGAATTAGGTTCACAAGGAAATAGCATTTGAGACAGTCAAGTGTGTAAAATCACATCAGGCATGTGGTGGCCGAAATCGTTCATGCAGTGCTGGAGGCGTTCTTGGAAGTTCGCGTAGACTCTCTCCAACTTGGGCGACTTTCACGCGAATTTCGTCCTTCAATTCGTCCAGAGTTTGGGGCTTGTTCGCGTATACTCTAGCCTTGAGCTGTCCTCATAAGAAAAAATCGCATATGGATAAATCTGGGGACCGAGGAGGCCAATGAACATCGCCAAACCTGGAAATAAGGCGACCAGGGAAGAGAGGGCGAATAACGTCCATGGATGCTCGGGCTGTGTGGGCGGTCGCCCCATCCTGCTGGAACCCCACACGTCGGATTGGAACACGTAGCCGTCGTAATTCAGGGAGAAAGAAGTTGGTGACCATGTCGACGTAGCGCTCTGAGTTCATGGTAACATCACGACCATTACCGTCTTCGAAAAAGTAAGGGCCAATGATGCAAGTTTGCGATACAGCGCACCTAACCGTTACTTTTGGGCTGTGCAGCGGTCTTTCGTGTAACTGTTGCGGATTTTCATTAGCCCAATAACGACAATTCTGCTGGTTAACCATGCTGTTGAGGTGAAAGTGGACTTCGTCACTCATAGGCGAAAACGCGGTGCTCCACCGTCCAAGGCTCCATAACGACAACTGGTAAAATAATGCTAGGATCTCACGAGTCAAACGGCACCCTCCCCACCTCTCTCGTAGACGGTGGCGGAGAGTACTACCCATCCCAAAAACGTCCGTCCTCTCTGCCGCACCCTGTATAATTATCCATCCCTTCCAGAAGTCACGCCAAGTTGCCATTACTGATATCACTATCATCTTTACAAAATGCCTTCTGTCATTGATCAACATATTCTACCTGAAGATAGCTAACCGTATACTTTATTCCGACGTACCAAAAGGGATCTAAAACATACTAGAGCTATACATGATGATATAGTAGCAGAATACAGAGTGCTTAGCATTGAGTAACGTATTTCAACTGAATATGCTTAATTGAAATTATAGACGCGCTAAAACTGACTGCAGAGCGTATGAGGTAGTAGCAGAACCAAACACTCTAACTTTTTTGAAAGTAGATTTTTATATTCATTTTATCTTTTAAATTCCTTTTTGGACGTCGGAATACATTATGTAGTTGGCTACCTTGACGTAAAATACTTTTATCAATGCCTGTATATTCAGGGTGTTTGGTAGTGAAAACCGTAATGCTTTGGGAGCTACGTTTCCCGAGATATAACTCTTGCTTCTTTTTATGCTGAATTCCCTGCAATTGTGCAATATCATTATAACTTTTTTATTTGTCGAGGTAGTAACAAAAAATAATGTTATAGTTTCATTCTTTAATGTATGCTTAATCAGATCAAATACATATATTGTACAAACGACCTGATAAAAATGACTGATGGCCTTCAAAAGTCGTAAAATTGTGCGAAGTGAATATAATGTTTGAAATTCAAAATTCGATAAAAAAACTACCTTTTTTGGAACTTAGCTTGATTTATACCCCTTCTGGGACCGAGCGAAGGAATTCATGTACAGGGCAGAGTTGCCCAGCAAAGAGGTGTTAATCCAGAGGATCGAAGCTGCATTCCAACATATGAAAGAAATGTAGCTACGGACAACAACTGAAGAAATTTGGAAGAGATATGGGGCATGTGTCAAAAATGGAGACAGGCATTTCGAAAATCGTCTGTAGCGGATTCAAATCACATAAAAGAGTGAAAAACAAAAACAAAAATTAATTGTTCCTAAACCTAATCAACCGTTTTCTGTTATTTTGACCACATAACAAATTATAGTGTAGCATATTATTGGAAAGGCAACAAAGCATAGAAGTTGTATAGATAAAGCTACGTTACAAAAAAGGTATAGTTTTTTTGTCACCAAATTTTGAATTTACGAGATTTTGTTCACTCCGCACAATTTTACGACGTTGGAAGGCTATCATGTCCTTTTTAAGAGACTTTTGTACGAACTGTTTATTTAATCTAATAAAGCATACATTACAGAATGGAACCACGTTTGTTTTTTGTTTTTATCTCGACAAACACAAACGTTTTAACGATATTTATGCGCAGTTGCAGGGAAGTCATCATAAAAACGATAATAGCTATATCTTGGCAACAGTAGCCTTCACGGTTTTCGCTAAAAATTATAAAAATTATCCAAAAATGTTTGTCGGTATCAAACACCCTGTACATATAGCAATTTATCGAAGTGTTCTGAGTCATCACCATCACCAATTGTTGATTTTTTGGTAGCTGCATGATAACGATTTATGTTATTTGTTTAAATAATCCCCTGGATTCAGTCTTGCCCTATATTTTGATGAACGATGATTACACTTCAGTATAAAGTCTCGTTCTGTTGGCGGCTCATACTGTGTGAACTAGGGACTGTGAAACAGAATATGATCTTATCAACCTTCTTTCAGGGACGAGTGATCTTCTCTAGCGGATCCCCGTTCGGCAAAGTGACCGTGGGCGAAAAGGTCTTCCATCCTGGCCAAGGTAACAACGCCTACATTTTCCCTGGCGTGGCCTTGGGCGTCTTACTCTCCGGCATCCACCATATCAGTGAGCGCATCTTTCTAATTGCCTCCGAAACGGTCGCTAACCACGTGTCGGACACCGATCTTCAGCGGGGAAGTCTCTATCCTCCATTGAGTTCCATCAAGGAGGTCTCGATGCAGATCGCCATGAAGATTTTGGATCATGCTTATGAGGAGCGTAAGTGTTTTTGAATTCTCGTGGTTTATGGGGATTGTCGGGCTGTTTTGTACTTATAAAAGGATTTGCCATTATGTGTAATAAAGTTGAGGCGACGAAATAATTACTTAAAAAAATTATGGCAGACTTTCAGCTATGCTTCAGTAGGCTCGAAGTGTCTGCGATCGATTGAATTTTGCAGAGCCGAAGATGCATTCTTTCCAACATTATATGTTGGGAATCGTCAACGATGTTCAACGTGAATAATTTCCAAAAAAATGTATTCAATAGAATATTAATTGTTGCCTCAAAAAGCAGAATGTACTTTTCACTTTTTTTGGCGAACGAAAAGTTTCCATCTAAAGTTGTTCAGACGTAAAATTTTACGACTAAGCGGTGACGTAAGAAGAAGTAGCATGGCGTAGTTAGGTTTATATACGACCTGGCGGAAAAGTGTACCTTATGGATAGGTTTTTCAGGCATCAAGTCCTACAATGTTGCATCCATGGGAACTGTTCTTATCTATACGTTGCTAGGTTGCGACACAACTATGTGTGATACGTTAGTACGATTACTTTACTTTTAGTTGTAACTAGACTAAACCCGCGGTTCCTCTCACGTATAGTTCATTCGTTTTGCATTAGTGTGAAGGAGATTGACTTCGGAGAAAGACATGCAATATTCAAAGTATGTAGTGCAATAGTTACTATGACAAAGAGCATTTTTATCCAACATTTTAATGCAACGATACATTGATTTAAATTTTTCGCTTTTTTCCATCCTCGACAAAAATCAGCTTACTTGAACATTTATCTGATTTTAAGGTGACCTTGAAGGTTCATTCGCAACGGTAAACTTAAACTTGAAATTGTCTGAAATTTGCATTTCAGAAATCGAAAATAAATGTTTCACGCTAAAAAAATTATTTGATCTTAAATGACCTTGGTCAAGGCCACGGACATTCTTGAACATTAGTTTCTTGCTCTTTTTATTTCCGGCGTCAAAAATAGGGTGTGCATGAATCGTATTTTACGTGATATTTTGTCATTTTGCTATTTTCTGGATACTCTCAAATACCCATGAATATCATGGTCGTGGTGATAAGCAAAGACATACTTTAACGTTAAATTTTCGGCTCTTTATATTCCCGGTGTCAAAAATAGGGATTTCATTAGTAACACAGTCTTGACCTTCAAATGAACTTGAAGGTCACAGTCAAGGTTACGTTCAAGGTCGCCATTAGATGAATCTTTTTAAACCTAACAACTTTATTTTACAACGTTTTTTCTCTAGGAAACGTATTTTTTTGGGATATTTTGATCTGTCCCATACTTTTTGAACACCCTATGTATTTTCGCGAAAAGCCATCCTTATAACCTTCCTCGTTAATCAGTACGCGTAAAAATGTTTAACTATTGTGGTTCAGACGTGATGCTGACAGACTGGGCAGACATTCGCATGTATAGGGATTATACCTAAAAGCTATTTTGTATATTTGATGTTAGCCGGTCGTAGACATTCTTTTATCTCGGGCAGTATAAGCATTTGTCTACTAGGAGCAGAAAAGTGTACTATGTTTTTCGAGTATAAAGTTCCAATTTTCAGCTCATGGACTTCTTTACGCATTAGGACAAATAACCTACTTATGTCAAACAAAATGTAGCAGTCACGGGAACTGTTTTTATGTATTCATTGCCAAGGAACTTGACGGGACAACTACTGGTCACAATAGTACGGTTAATTAATTTATTTTTATTATAACGTGAAAGCTATGTTAAATTTTTGATTTTAACCGGTCGTATGCAAAAATTTTTTTGTATTTAGGGTGTAACAAGCGTTAATGTCCAGATTTTGCCATTTTCCACGTAATTTTCCGAGACGATAACACGATGATTTTCAGTCCAGAACGTTATAATAGCAATTAAATGACACATTCTGGGTGATATACTTCCTCCGGGCACTTCAATTTCTGTAAAGAATCTGCCAACTAAGGGATATAAGGTATTTCTCACGATGGCAATGCTATCACGATATGAACGCTTTGACATAATAATGTTCTTTTTCATCGATATCATGACATAAGTGTAAATAGATCTGCTTTTAGTGATGGATTGCAGACCGAGTGATTTATGTTCCCTTACACATCTAAATTAGAGGCAAAACATGTTATCCCAAACCTCCTATAACACATCCCATTTCCTCCTTTCCAGGTATAGCCACAGTTTACCCAAAACCGAAAGACATGCGGACATACGTGCAAGAAAACCTATACAAGTACTATTACGAACCTGCTTTGGTCCCGACTTGGGGTTGGCCTGATCACCCTGTCGTCAAAACAAGAGCCTATCCAAAATCTGAGAGAAAATTTTACCAACCGAAAGAAACCCTATGACATTCGAAAAGATATTTGTCAATAAAAAAATGTCCTTTATAAGCTTTCGAACAAGTTCATTCTAAACTAACTTAATGTGATATAGAATTGGACTAATAGGCCATCCCAAACAGATGAATAGAAAAGAACATGAACTTCGTCGAAAAATGGTGGTTCTGTTATTTGCTACACATTATCGGCACGACAAATCCAAAAGTCACATCTCTCTTAGCTGATGTATGTATCATTTTGGGTACATAAAAAGGTGATTATAATTTTTTTTACGGAGTTCGGATTATTTTGTTTGTATTTCCAGTATGATTCTTGTTGTTCTCTTTAAACTATATTTTGTTACTGGGGTATTTTCACTTTAGCCATTGAAGGTGGACTCCATAATAAGAAATCAGAAGCACGTAATTTTTTCCATTGGACTTATTCGATTTTACATGGACACAGGTGATTTTTAGTTTTGATTATTTAAATATCTTGAGTTATATCGTCTTGCCAAAGGCCTCCTGCAAGTAGAGAAGAGCATATTTTGATATGGAAGCAACCCAGTCTCCTGTCGAGCAAAAACAGGGTGCTCTAAAAGTTAGATATTCTCAGAAATAACCACGCACGAAATCGACAAGTTTGTTATTACTATAGTAATATTTCTTCCTATATGAAGGTGCTTTTCTAAACTTAATATCTCGGTTATCCATAGTCTTTCGTGTATATGTTGCTAGAAAAATTCTCACAAGAAAAGGAAAGTTCCATCCTTGAGAATTCTCTGGTTGCCCATTTTCAGACCCTAATTCCCTTAGTTTTCGTGGGTAATGGTAATGACACTTATGTATACAGAACCTCGATATTAAGTCTGGTTGACAAAATTTGACTTAATAAAACGATTATCAGACGAGCCATCACACAGGTATGTCCATATTTAGAAGCTAAGATGCACATGCGAGCTCTGTAGGTCCTGCAAAGTAGGTGCCTACCAACTATAACCGATGCCCCATGGTATGTTTCAAACCAGACTCTACACACTTATCTTGACATATCTTATATGACACATCATCATACATCAAAAATCTGTCGCGGCTAGGCTATGAACAGACGTATCACATCACATTGCAACCCTTTGTTGGGTGAGTTATTGGACTACACAGGTGACTATACTCGGAAACCAGCGGCGGCTCGTGGTCTATGATACAGGGGGTTTACAAGTGGTATAAAATATTTTTTTTTGCCACCACCAAAATTTTTATGTAATGCGTGACGTAGAAGGCAATAAGAGTACTAAAACAAGCATCAAGGACACATTTTTTGTTATTTTTTTTCATTATACACAATATTTTAATGAGTACAGTGTTTAAACGTAAAGTCCATTCTCCTGATTTTATTTGCAGAAAATTTATCAATAACTAACTCGTTAAAGGTTGGAATACCCGCTATACATTTTTTCTCGATAGATAGTATTGCTAGCGCTGACAGTCTTTCTTCATTCATAGAACTTCGCAAAAATGTTTTTATTCTCTTCAATGTCGAAAAGCATCTTTCACTTTCGGCCGTAGTCATTGGTATGGTAACAATTATTTGTAAAAGTGTAAAGGTGGCAGAAAATATGCTCTGAAGATTATTTTCTATAAAAAACTGTAACAAACTAATGGCACCAGTCATATTCCTGAAATCAGGTCGCCGGTAAATTAATTCCAATTCAGTCTGGAGAGGAACTTTATCTAAAAACGAATATGCTTCTACTACAGTTTCCAAATATTGCAATGGAAAATGCTTTTCAAATTGTGGAAATTTATCAGAAGAAAGAAGAATAGCTTCATTTAAATGTTTTGTAAAAGAAAATCTATCTGTTACATGTGTAATTATGGTATCACAAACTTCCTTGGCTGCAACAGCTCTGCAAATATGCTGGTCTTCATTTGCACGACGCTTTTTAGTTTGAGTAGTAGTGGTATCTTCAGAAATTTCAATTGTTTCCAAGCAGTCTCTCTCTTTTTGGATGCAGTTTCCAAAACACTTTATGGCAGTCTGAATTTGCACTGGGTCAGTCACTGTTTTTTGTAACTGATTATATAAAATATCAGCATGTGGCAATATTCGATGAAATACAGTTAGCCAGAACACAAACTTAGAATCTTGTAGCATACGGCCAATACCAGTGGCTTGATTTATGGTAACAGTTTGTTTTGAAGTAGCTTCTATTTTTTCCATGCATTCTATTAACAATTCGCGATATTCATATACTGTATTTATAGATCTGCTTTTAAAATTCCATCTTGTAACAGAAGACCTAGGAACTCTTGCACCAACAATGTCATCCAAAACTGCAACTCGTTGTGGAGAATGAGAAAAAAAAGTTGAAATATCGCTTAAATTTGAAAAAAATACCCGTACTTCTTGATTTTGGCTTGTAGCTTGCAATAAAATCAAATTCAGCTGGTGGGCATAACAATGAACGAAATAAGCATAAATATAATCACGTTGAATACGAGCTTGAACACCTCCACGACGTCCACTCATTACACTAGCGCCGTCATAACTTTGAGCTATCAGTTTCTCTGGTTTATCTAGCACTTGTATTAAATTAGTTTTCACACATTCTGAGAGACTAACTGCATCGTGGTCAGGGGGGGGGTAACAAAATTCCAAAAACGTTCAACTGGCCTTCCATCTGGTAGAATGTACCTAAATACTGTAGTCATTTGATAACAATTAGCTACATCAGTTGTTTCGTCAGCCATAACAGCAACAAATTCAGCTTCCAAAATTTCTTTTCTTATATTTTCCTGAGCCACTTGTAACATGCAATCTAACAATTCGTTTTGAATGATTTTTGATACCCCTTTGAATACTGTCGATTTTTCAAAATGATCTTCAAGTGCTATATCTAATTCGGCAGTGAAATTTATTAAACCTCTAAAAATACCAGGATTTGATGAACCATCTTTTTCGTCGTTATCGCGGAGGGCTAATTCAAAAGCTCCGCAAAATTTTATGCAATCAATAATTTTTGAAAGCACATACCTATTCTTTCTAACTTGTTCATTTTGCTGTTGAATACTGCGCCTATATGCACTGTCCAACTGCTGCCGTATATCTACTTTTCCCAAAAGCTGCATTTCCAGTTGCGCATTGATATGGACTTGAGTGTTTTCATGTTTCTTAATTTTTTGTGCTAAATGTCCCAAGTCGGCTATTCCATTTTTTGTCCAGGCAGGCTCTGCAACCCCGTGACCAAACAACAAACAGGCAAAACAAAACAAACGGTTTGTTGTGCTGCATCCACAAATCCAGTTATTCTTTTCATATATTTCCATTTTAAACTTTCTAATAAAGTATCTAGATTTACCCTTTGTGGTCTGAGTTAAGTTAATTTCTGGTGTAGGTCTTCCCGCATTTTTTACTTCAATTTTTTGCTCCAAACTCAATGAACTGAAGTTATGTTTCAAATATTCCACAGTGAAACCATTCATTTTAACTCAATATTTTATTAAAACGCTGCTACGAATATAAAAATTCGAACACACCTCCGATTACTGCATAAAATGCACGCGCAACGGACAATGACGCACTCCAGAAGTGTGCGCTTCTCCAACTAAAATTGCCATAACTCCGCTATACCCCGCAACCAGAACAGCAGGGTGAGAAACACACTAATCCCGCGTACATGATCGCATATGCGACTATTCGTCGTCATCCGCCGTCACCCGTCGGCGGCAGTCGGACCGAATCACAAGTCGGAATCGCCCGAATCAGGCAGCGCAGCGGTAAGAGTGGTGACTCACCAGTGGAGAGCTACTAATGTTGGACCAGCGAAAGATTGCAAGCCGAAAGAATGCGGACAAAAAATTGCGAAGTTGTCAGATGTTCTACATAAAATGCGGTCCATACATATTAACATATTTAAGATATAGAATTGTTCCGCTGAATTTGGCAATGTAGCTGGAAAACCCAGGCCGCAGGTAAACATCCGGTCGCTGATTGGTCCAAAACTCTTATCTTATCTGAAACTAGAATAACGTGCCGATGGCACGGTCATTTATAAACCTACTCCCATAGGCGTAGGCAGTTGGCAAATACTTTGAAAATATAATTTACTGTTTAGTGGTGATAATGGAATTCAAGCATGGGAAAGTTATTCACAGCCAGGCAAGGGAAATAATAGCAAACGTGATACGTGCTTGCGATGCAGAAGCGGCTAACAATACTTTCGTTTATCCACTGGTAGCTAGAAATGCAAGGGCGGCATATTATACGGGTGTTAGTGAACGAACTATAAGTAAAATTAGAAAAGAAGATAAAGACAGGCAAAATGCAACCTCCACACAGCCTTTAGCTTCTCCCGGAAAAAAGAGATCACGCCCTTCTGTGATCCAAAAAATTGATGGAGTCGATTTTTCCATTATTCGGAGAATGATAGAAAAATTTTACTGTGATTTTAAAGTGGTACCTACTTGTAGTAAACTTCTAATCAAACTGAAGGAAGAAATGGAATTTCCATTTGGTAAAGAATCGTTGAGGCTGCTTTTAAAAGCAAAAGGATTTTACTGGCGTAAATGCCACAACAAAAGGAAATTACTAATGGAAAGACCCAGTATTTTACATTGGCGATACAAGTATCTTAGGTCTATTAAAAAGTTCCGGGAAGAAGGAAGGCATATTATTTATTTGGACGAAACTTGGGTTGATAATGACCTCACTTTCAAGAAATGCTGGCAAAGCGAAGAAATTATGGGTGTCCTGAGCAATATAAGTTCTACAGGTAATAAAGTTTCTTTCACCTCGATTTTGCTTATTATACATTTTTCTCAATTTTGGAATATTCTTAATAAGTGCTCATTTAATTTGTCTAATTGAATACATAATCCCTTGCAAGTATTTTTTTCTCAAAAATATGTTTTTTATACATAGTGATTCAAAAAGGTGTTGGCAAACTTAAAATAACACTAAAATGAGGCTATTTATTCATTTCCAGGACGACTTATAATTGTTCATGCGGGTTCGCAAGATGGTTTTGTTCCTGGAGCCTGTCTCATTTTCAAGGCTGGCTGTGCCACTGGTGATTATCACGGTCAAATGAACCAAGAAAATTTCACGAAGTGGCTTACTGAAAAACTATTTCCTAACATTCCTCCTAATAGTATTATAATAATGGATAATGCACCTTACCATTCAGCTTTGGAAGACAAGCCTCCAACTAGATCTTCTCTAAAAAGAGACATCATCACGTGGTTGAGCAAAAAAGGTATAGAGCATGATCCTAATGCTAAAAAAATGGAGCTTTATGAAATAGCTTGTCTACATAGGCCACCATCTGATGAGAAAAATTATAAGATAGATAATTTAATAAGAAGTTTCGGACACACCCCACTTCGAACGCCACCCTATATGTGTCAGTTTAATCCCATAGAGATGATTTGGGCACAAGTAAAATTTTTCATTAGAAGCCATAATACAAGCGGCGAATTTACTATAAAAAAACTAGATGAAATTTCTAATAAGGCCATCGCTTCAGTAAGTGCCAGTGACTGGCAAAAGGTTATTGACATGTTATAAAAATTGAAGATGAATATTGGGAAAAAGACAGTCTCATTCAAGAAATACAGGAAGAAATAATAATCAACATAGGAGGTGAAAGTGATAGCAATGACAGTTCCTCAGACAGTGATCATGACTCTAATCAGGATTGAAACTATACTAGATTGGCTACCTTTTAGAATTTTTAGATATTCATTTATATACTATTGGTTTGTGGCTTTTAGTATCTCAGTAGAAGTCTAATTCTATGTGTTGTTTATGGGTTATTTCATCAAGAAATTACTTTTGTTTCCTATATTTTTCTATTCAGTCAGATATTTTTGACTTGTTGTATTCTATTTTAGAAGAATGCATAATTTGTTTTGCTGTTCAATCATAATGCGTACATAGGAATATTACTTGTTGCCTAAAAATATATTTATTTTGTTCTCAATATTCAGTGTTTGTGTATATTTATTTCTTATAATGTATGTTTGGTATCACGTCATTATGAATCGCAAAAAAATATTAATACTACCAGTTGTAATAAAATATAAATTCAATTAATAATTCAAGTCTCTCCGATCTCCGCCTATGACTCCATATAAAATCGTCTAATGGTAAGGTTTTTTCATCGCATTTCCCCCTTTCGTCCCTAGCAATCTTTGGCTGGTCGATCAATAGATCTTTGATTTTATACGATTAAATATCAGGGAGGCTCAGACTTTATTTGAGAAATTATTAAATGGATGTTATACATATTTATTATTATTTATTTTGGGGGTGCACGTGCTCATGTGCTCCTACAGTGGAACCGCCATTGTCGGAAACATTTCAGACCAAGGCTTGCACTATGAACAAAATTAATGTTTTGACAAGTCGTGCCACTTTTTAACTAAATGTAAAATTATTTTTCTTTAGAGAATATTTACATTTCCTATTATTTGCTCTTTCTATTCCTTCATTCTTTTTTCTATTGATTCTCTTTGACTGACATACCTTGAAATAAAGACCAGGGTCCTACGGAATGCTTTGACAGACAACGAATTGGCATGTCAAAAAAGATTACTGTTCTTCTGAGACAGTCGGGAAAAAACTCACCTTCGTTTCATCGGTTTCTTCCAAGGACATTTGCCTTCATGTAGCAGGCACTAGTTACTAGTACGATTGTCAGTATGTCGGTCTGGTCAGACATACTCAAAGAAAATGTCATGAAGTCTATACACCTTGGGAAAAAACATTATTATACATTATGATGAGGAAGAGAGATGGAAATATACAAAAATATGTAGGTGCGTGAAAGACACTCGATTGTAGGATCCTATCTGGCAGCCTCGGAGTGTGACGGACAACGGGGTAAAGTAGAAGAGTGATAAAAGAGAGATGGCAGAACGGGCGCTGGCGCCTGCTGCTTAGACGGATCCGCTCAACAAATGCGATTCGTTTCTCCCATTCGCAGAGTTGCCGATACCAGTATGTCATATTTCTAAGAAATCTAAGTCTACCCAAATTTCGGGAAAAATAGCTGCGGATTCCACATAAGAGTATTCCAAAAATGAAAAAAGTACAAACTATTAAAATTGTATTAATGTTTCATGGTTCAAATCATATTTTTCATGTTTGTATATTGTTGTATAAATGATTTTGTAATCCCTATTCTTGTTGCCAGTAGAGATACAACAGTATTGAGGGAAATCATGGACCGCTAGATAGGGCAACAACTACCATATGACTATCAAATAGTAGTGATAAACAGGGTTTGTTTATAGCACAGTTGCCTGGTGTGGCGAATTTGCGCCATAGGGGCGATTTGACAACTTTGAAGGACAACTATAACGGGTACTATGGTGCCCGGTATTCGGGAATCTGGCAATACCTGATGATTCCTAACGTTTATTACGCCAGATTGTTTGCTGACTTGCGCAGTACAACATGACAATCAACGTGACTGAGCACCTGGTAACCCTGGTTTAAGGTGTTATATTTAAAGAGCTTGGGGCAGTTAGGTATCTAGGTCACATTTTTTAATGTATTTCGAGAAATCCGTAATGTTGAGTAAATACTAGATCACGTTTCTTGCTTAGTTTGCTGAAAATTCTACAATAGACGTACATTTTGAGAAACAGAGATTTGGTGACGACAAAATCGTAAAAATATAACGCATTTTCATAAAATAATTTCTTTGTTGAAAAGAATGTGGCTTGATGACCCATTGAACGAGGATAGTGTCCCGCTCCGCTTTGAATATTCGAAACACTATACTCCAGCAGCATTCAGCTTCAATGTTATCTTTATGAAGTCCTAACGTCTATGCCATGCTGATTAAAAGCTTGAATGAATCAACACTTAACTCTAAATTCCCCACAATTCGGGAAGCTCTACTCAAATTGGCAACACAGCGTATCTGCCTATTATTCTCATTCGTGATACAGGTCTGCGGTCTGCTGCAAATTTCAGTATGCGTTGAGTCGATAGAAGAAGTACAGTAGATGCGCGCATTACGCACCAGTTCGATTGGACGTCCTGTGAACCGATTTCGGTGATTTCGAGATTTCACGAAATCACCTAAATCACTCTACTTATTTTTATGAATGGATAATTGGTTTTGTAGCAATAAAGGTTGCGTCTCATAACAAAGATAAGAAGATACCCACTCTAACAAAAAATAGTACACTCTTAAAAATGTGTAACGAAAATAAAAAGATATTCTAACAAAAAAATAAGTTCTCAAAAATAAAACGCAATAATGAACACAAATGTTTCAAATGGTCCTTCACAGCTGGGGCTCAAAAACGTCTCCTTCATTCAATGAACAGTATGTCAGGCGGTTATAAAACTCCTGACGAACTCTCAAGAGGGTAGAAGGCTGTATTTGCCCGAGCGCTTCAACGATTTTCACCTGTAGGTTATGCAAATTGTCTGCTCTCTCATTGAAAGTGTAAACAGTACTTTTCACATAACCCCACAAGAAAAAATCATTGGGCGCTAGATCGGGTGATCTAGGAGGCCATTTTATTGTTCCGTTACCGCCAATAATCCGGTGGCCGAACACACTTTCAAGGTAAGTGTGTACGATCGCCGCATTATGCGCCGGGCATCCATCTTGTTGGAACCAAATATTAGCGAGATCAATGCCAAGCTGCCTAATTGCAGGAACAATCTGCGTCTGTAGTAACGCCAAATATTTTGCAGCCGTAAGAGTTCCATCAATAAAGAACGGTCCGATAATGTTATTACCTAGAATTCCTGCCCACACATTCAGTTTCTGTGGATACTGCTTACGGACGGGAATACTGAGGTGTTTATTTTCCCGAGACCAATACCGAACGACTGAAGGATTGTGATGACCGTGGAGAGGGAATGTGGATTCATCAGTAAACAAAATGTTACCAATAAAACTTCCATCCCTGTTCGCCTTCTCCATGACGGTTTCACAAAACTCCATTCGACGGTATTTGTCTAAAGGAAATATTTCTTGAACCGTTCCAACCTTGAAGCTATGATAGCCGTTGCGATGCAAAATATTTCTTGTTGTTCTGGGTGTGAGATCGGCTATTGGTACCATTTCAGCAATTTTTCTGCTTGAGCATGGCTCAGATACTTCTGCAGCGGCACAAACAGCAGTTTCGATCTCCTCCCTTTTCTCGCTAATTTTTGGTTTCCAACCTTTAGGGTGCATGCAGCTATGGCACTTATGTAAGCAGCCCGCCCTCTTGAATTTTTCGTAGGTATTTATAACCGTTGCGTGAGACGGAATTGGCCGATCTGGGAAGCGTACCGCAAATAATTCAACAACCGCGCATGCTGAATTATTCTGGATGTACCATTCTATCATTTGAAACTTTTCTTCTTGCGAGTACATTTTTAAGATATTTTGGATTAAATAAAGACGCACCTTTCCTACACAAAACCCAATCGCAGAGTGAGTCATGAATCCCTTATGGCACTTGACAACGGCACGCGCGTTAACGGTAGGAAATATGTACGAATAGCGATGAAAGTAGACGAGCCGATGCGCTGTTGCCAAGAAATGATTTCCCATATATAACAATGGTTTTTCCTAAGGTGTATACTTGGAGCAATGACCCCAAATCTTGACGTCTGACTGAAAGCGTAGCGATCGAAGCGAGTACCAGCTACTGCGCATGCGCAGGATATCTGAGGTTATAGTAAGAAATCGGCTCGGGTATTCCGATTCTTGAAAAGTGACGTTATATTTATTTATTTAAACTCTTACAAACACATTTGAATGTAGCTACATGTAGGACTGCCTACTGGCTATTAGAGAAACACAGAATACACAAAAACTTATAACTAAAAAATTACGACCGAGAAAAACTATAAAATATCTTTTAGTTATTACTAACAAATAAAATGAGATAAGGATGTTTTACTTAAATTTAAAATCAGTCTTAATTTGTCTCACAGTAGTAGAAAGGAGATCCACATCACAATTTTGTATATAACTGTTAGACTCATACATCATTCTATTGATAGAAGAACAACTAACAGGTGAAAGAGTTTGTTGCCTCTTATTCTCAAGTTGATTCTAGGAACAGCAAAGAATATATTATTTATTAGGGAGCACTACTTATATTTTAAATTATTAATTATGTAATAAATGAACAAGATATCATTCAAACCACGCCTAACGCTCAACCGCACAATTTTAAATTCTGTTAGCATACTATTATAAGAGATCATGTATGGATAAGCATTGTGTGTCCTTAAGTACAGATATCTTAAAACATCTTTTTGTACCCTTTCGATCATATCAACATGCACCATTGTTTTGGGTGCCCAGACAATAGAGGCATACTCCAAAACAGGTCGGACCAGTGAGTTGTACAAAATTATTATAGACTATATAGATTTTTTTTGACATTATAGTTTTTTGTCATTATGTAGGTTTTCGACAGGATGTTAACTTAGCATTAGCTGATGGACATTTTTGTAAACTCGTTTTGTAGTTGTAGTGTTGCCTAAACGTCATGAGGGTTCACTTATCAATGTTTGGCTATGATGTGATGTAAAATTGGCTTCAGAGATGGCATTACTGGAGGTAAAGGCATAGTAAGGATTTGTGTGCTAATAATATGGGTTGATGATAATTTCATTGGATTCTTGTCTCAAATACACTTACTTGAGATTCAATACTAGAAATTAGTTGCGCATCTACTTTTTCTTATCCACTCTGGAAATTACATGCAAATTAGCTGAATTTCAAAAATGAGAGATACATAAGAAATAATTATATTCACTGTACTCTGTCGAATTACAAGTCATATACATGATAACAGTAATTACACACAACACAGGCGCGGTGGTGATTTCTCGTAATTCTCCTCAAAGTTTTTGAAAACACAAAAAAAAGTCAAAAATCGTAATTGATAACTTTGATAACACAGCTAATAGATATACTTCATTGGTAGCATATTCAGTAATGATTTTCTCACACAGCAAATATCACTGATTTTATACACATGCAGACCAATACACACAATTATCCAGGTGCGGTCTTGCTGTACAACCAAATAACCAACTTTCTTCTCAGAGACTCAGATGAAAACTATAGACCACTCGGCTTTACAAAACATATGCAGCCAACAATGCGCGTACGTGTAGTTGAGCCATTCCTCCATAGATGGACGCTCACAACGATCCTGGTGAGCAAACGTGGAATGACTGTTTGCACCCTAAAAACTACCTAGCCTGCAAGATGACATCTTATAGGTTTTTTTTGACGTTTTATAGGTTTCTTACATAATACCCGCTTGAATCTACAGGTATTTGTTTTTTGATAAAACTATTTTTTTTATGAATGATAAATGATGAACAGATTACAGCAGTCCTGCCTTTGCCAAGCGGCCGGATCTTAGACTATTAGGAAAGTGTTCAATTTGGCGGATCTGTCAAAGCACACCATTGCTAGATGGGTCTTAGAATCTAGAACAAACACAAAAATCCCATTTAGAAAAATCCCACAAATAACAGCTGATTAATTGGAAGAGGTAGGTTTGGTTCAAAGAATTCGGAGTTGCTTTCTATCCGCGAAACCTTTGATTTTCCCCAGAACATTATATCCCCAAAAAATTACACAGGTTAAAATCCCCAACATGGCAACCGTGTCAAAACCCCACTGGTATTCCAGGTGTCAGGGTTGCTTCGTTGTTTCTCCTGGTATATAGGCTCCATAGAAAGTACGCTTACCTTGGGTCTCTCTGCTTGTACTAGGTTTTTAACGAGGATGGGAAAACTCTCCCTGTATATTCGATTTTTTGTCAAAAGATGATTCCGTTTCTAGAAAGAAGGTCTATCCGAATCGAGTATCCATTATTTGACTGTATAAATTATAGACAATTATCCATTTTTTCAATCTTTCAGGAATTGCGTCCGTGTATCCTAAGCCCAAGGACATGCGAGCCTACATAGAATCTCATCAGTACAACTACAACTACGAACCTTCTCTACCCCAGGTATGGCCGTGGCCCAACCCTCCGTACATCAAGACCAGACCATTGGAGCCAACCAAATTGAAAGCGTAGTACACTTGAACAAATAGTTGAAAGAATTGTTTTGTCTTTTGCGATGACGATAAACGCAAGCTAGCTGTAAGATATTTAAATTATTTTCGGTATTTGGCAGAACTCCCGAAGATGGTCTCTTACAGATTTCATGAAAATAATCAAAATCCCATGTATACCACTTAGTATTTTCGTCTAGATACTATTTTATAGTACAATATAATATCTTCATGCCATCTGCAGAATCAAACATCATTCGAAACATAAGTTTATGGAACATCAAAAGTTAATACTCTGAAGGTAACATCGTTACGATTTTCATTGTCAATTTATAAAGTATAAGGTATCAACACCCCCATTGAAGTTCATGTGGCAAAATAGAGATGGCTTCTGCAGTTCTGTCAAACTATTTTTAATAAATTTACGTAAGATGTGATTTAAAATATGATCATTTATTTATATTGTACGTGCTTCATCAAATAAGCGTATCCTTGGTTTTTATCATTTTATTAGGAATTGTGCCATATATGTGTACTTAATCATTTTTCATTTCGGAAGTATTATAAAAAGTATTTTTTATTTCACCATCTGTAGTTTTAATTTATTGTCGAGCAATAACAGTATTTGTTTTCTGGTCATTTTTAATCCATTAAATACCTTTCATGTATTGATAAGGTAAAAAATAAAACCATTGTATTGTTATCCCTTTGTTTTATTTCCTTTTGTTCTTCACACGAAATTGAATTCTGCAGAAAAAGTGTGCCATAGCAAACCTCCATTCACCAATTTTACGAAGGAATTCCAGTCAACAGTGTGATTTTCAGAAAATTATAAATGTGTATCAGGATACCAAATTTCGTGCCAGCGTCATAGCAGGAGCGGAGCAGTATTCACCTACCTCCTCGCATTCCTGCGATGACGATAGCAAATCCTCATCCGTCAATCTTACGGGATTTTCAGAAACTTGAAGATCTGTACTAGGATCGCAGAAACGACCAGGAGCATAGATGCGAAGAATAAAAATTTCGTGCCAGTATCATAGCACGGGCAGAGTACCATCTCCTCGCGATTCTGTGATCCTTAAAACAAGTTTCCATCTACCAATTTTACGAGACAAGCGTGGTCGACAGCGCGACTTATACATCCGTATCAGGATCGCAGAAACGGCTAGAAGCATAGATGCAAGGATTTAAATTTTGCGGGAGTATCATAGCACCTGCAGAGTACCATTCACATACCTCCTCGTGTTTCTGTGATCCTGATACGGCAAGACATATCGATGCCAGGGATTTGAATTTCGCGCTTCTCTCATAACAGGAGAGTACCATTTGCATACCTCCTCGCGTTTCTGTGAACCTGATATCAAGTCTCCAATCTACCAACTTTATGAATACGCTGTGGTCGTCAGTGCGATTTTCAGAAACATATGTCTGTATCAGGATCGCAGAAACTACTAGGAGCATAGATGTCAAGGAGTCATATTTTGCACCAGTATCATAGATAGAGCACATTACTATTCACATACCTCCTCGCGTCTCTGTGATCCTGATAGCAAGTCACCGTCCACCAATTTTACGAGAGATGTCTGGTCTATAGTGCGATTTTCAGAAACCTATAGATTTGTATCAGGACTGCAGACACGACAGGAGGTATCGACGCCATGGATTTGAATTTTTCGTGACTCTCTCATAACAGGAGAGTATCATTTGCATACCTCCCCGCGTTTCTTTGAACCTGATAACAAGTCTCCAATCTAACAATTTTATGAATAAGCTATGATCGTCAGTGCGATTTACAGAAACTTATCTCTGTATCAGGATCGCAGAAACTACTAGGAGCATAGATGTCAAGGATTCATATTTTGCGCCAGTATCATAGATAGAGCACATTACTACTCACATAACTCCTCGCGTCTCTGTGATCCTGATAGCAAGTCACCGTCCACCAATTTTACGAGCGATACCTGGTCGATAGTGTGATTTTCAGAAACCTATATATTTGAATCAGGACTGCAGACACGGCAGAAGGTATCGATGCCATGGATTTGAATTTTTCGAGACTCTCTCATAACAGGAGAGTATCATTTGCATACCTCCTCGCGTTTCTGTGAACTTGATAACAAGTCTCCTATCTAACAATTTTATGATTAAGCTGTGGTCGTCAGTGCGATTTTCAGAAACTTATGTCTGTATCAGGATCGCAGAAACTACTAGGAGCATAGATGTCAAGGATTCATATTTTGCGCCAGTATCATAGATAGAGCACATTACTATTCACATACCTCCTCGCGTCTCTGTGATCCTGATAGCAAGTCACCGTCCACCAATTTTACGAGAGATGTCTGGTCGATAGTGCGATTTTCAGAAACCTATATATTTGTATCAGGACTGCAGACACGACAAGAGGTATCTATACCATGGATTTGAATCTCACAACAGGATATTACCATTTGCATACCTCCTCGCGTTTCTCTGAACATGATAACAAGTCTTCTATCTAACAATTTTATGATTAAGCTGTGGTCGTCAGTGCGATTTTCAGAAACTTATGTCTGTATCAGGATCACAGAAACTACTAGGAGCATAGATGTCAAGGATTCATATTTTGCGCCAGTACCATAGATAGAGCACATTACTATTCACATACCCCCTCGCGTCTCTGTGATCCTGATAGCAAGTCGACGCCATGGATTTGAATTTCGTGGTTCTCTCATAACAAAAGAGCATCATTTGTATACCTCCTCGCGTTTCTTTGAACCTGATAACAAGTCTTCAATCTAACAATTTTATGACTAAGCTGTGGTCGTCAGTGCGATTTTCAGAAACTTATCTCTGTATCAGGATCGCAGAAACTACTAGGAGCATAGATGTCAAGGATTCATATTTTGTGCCAGTATCATAGATAGAGCACATTACTATTCACATACCTCCTCGCGTCTCTGTGATCCTGATAGCAAGTCACCGTCCACCAATTTTACGAGAGATGTCTGGTCGATAGTGCGATTTTCTGAAACCTATAGATTTGTATCAGGACTGCAGACACGACAGGAGGTATCGACGCCATGGATTTGAATTTCGTGGTTCTCTCATAACAGGAGAATACCATTTGCATATCTCCTCACGTTTCTGTGAACCTGATAGCAAGTCGCCGTCCACCATTTTTACGAGCGATACCTAGTCGACAGTGTGATTTTCAGAAATCTATATATTTGTATCAGGACGGCAGACACGGCAGGAGGTATCGACGCCATGGATTTGAATTTCGTGGTTCTCTCATAACAGAAGAGTATCATTTGCATACCTCCTCGCGTTTCTTTGAACCTGATAACAAGTCTCCAATCTAACAATTTTATGAATAAGCTATGGTCGTCAGTGCGATTTACAGAAACTTATCTCTGTATCAGGATCGCAGAAAGTACTAGGAGCATAGATGTCAAGGATTCATATTTTGCGCCAGTATCATAGATAGAGCACATTACTACTCACATACCTCCTCGCGTCTCTGTGATCCTGATAGCAAGTCACCGTCCACCAATATTACGAGAGATGCCTGGTCGATAGTGCGATTTTCAGAAACCTATAGATTTGTATCAGGACTGCAGACACGGCAGGAGGTATCGATGCCATGGATTTGAATTTTTCGGAACTCTCTCATAACAGGAGAGTATCATTTACATACCTCCTCGCGTTTCTTTGAACCTGCTAACAAGTCTCCAATCTAACAATTTCACGAATAAGCTGTGGTCGTCAGTGCGATTTTCAGAAACTTATCTCTGTATCAGGATCACAGAAACTACTAGGAGCATAGATGTCAAGGATTCGTATTTTGCGCCAGTATCATAGATAGAGCACATTACTATTCACATACCTCCTCGCGTCTCTGTGATCCTAATACCAAGTCACCGTCCACCAATATTACGAGAGATGCCTGGTCGATAGTGCTATTTTCAGAAACCTATATATTTGTATCAGGACTGCAGACACGGCAGGAGGTATCAATGCCATGAATTTGAATTTTTCGTGACGCTCTCATAACAGGACAGTATCATTTGCATATCTCCTCGCGTTTCTTTGAACCTGATAACAAGTCTCCAATCTGACAATTTTATGAATAAGCTGTGGTCGTCAGTGCGATTTACACAAACTTATCTCTGTATCAGGATCGCAGAAACTACTAGGAGCATAGATGTCAAGGATTCATATTTTGCGCCAGTATCATAGATAGAGCACATTACTACTCACATACCTCCTCGCGTCTCTGTGATCCTGATAGCAAGTCACCGTCCACCAATATTACGAGAGATGCCTGGTCGATAGTGCGATTTTCAGAAACCTATAGATTTGTATCAGGACTGCAGACCCGACAGGAGGTATCGACGCCATGGATTTGAATTTCGTTGTTCTCTCATAACAGGAGAATTTGCATATCTCCTCGCGTTTCTGTGAAGCTGATAGCAAGTCGACGTCCACCATTTTTACGAGGGATACCTAGTCGATAGTGTGATTTTCAGAAACCTGTATATTTGTACTAGGACTGCAGACACGGCAGGAGGTATCGATGCCATGGATTTGAATTTTTCGTGACTCTCTCATAACAGGAGAGTATCATTTGCATACCTCCCCGCGTTTCTTTGAACCTGATAACAAGTCTCCAACCTAACAATTTTATGAACAAGCTATGATCGTCAGTGCGATTTACAGAAACTTATCTCTGTATCAGGATCGCAGAAACTACTAGGAGCATAGATGTCAAGGATTCATATTTTGCGCCAGTATCATAGATAGAGCACATTACTACTCACATACCTCCTCGCGTCTCTGTGATCCTGATAGCAAGTCACCGTCCACCAATTTTACGAGCGATACCTGGTCGATAGTGTGATTTTCAAAAACCTATATATTTGAATCAGGACTGCAGACACGGCAGAAGGTATCGATGCCATGGATTTGAATTTTTCGTGACTCTCTCATAACAGGAGAGTATCATTTGCATACCTCCTCCCGTTTCTGTGAACTTGATAACAAGTCTCCTATCTAACAATTTTATGATTAAGCTGTGGTCGTCAGTGCGATTTTCAGAAACTTATGTCTGTATCAGGATCGCAGAAACTACTAGGAGCATAGATGCCAAGGATTCATATTTTGCGCCAGTATCATAGATAGAGCACATTACTATTCACATACACCCTCGCGTCTCTGTGATCCTGATAGCAAGTCGACGCCATGGATTTGAATTTCGTGGTTCTCTCATAACAGGACAGTATCATTTGCATACCTCCCCGCGTTTCTTTGAACCTGATAACAAGTCTCCAATCTAACAATTTTATGAATAAGCTATGATCGTCAGTGCGATTTACAGAAACTTATCTCTGTATCAGGATCGCAGAAACTACTAGGAGCATAGATGTCAAGGATTCATATTTTGCGCCAGTATCATAGATAGAGCACATTACTACTCACATACCTCCTCGCGTCTCTGTGATCCTGATAGCAAGTCACCGTCCACCAATTTTACGAGCGATACCTGGTCGATAGTGTGATTTTCAGAAACCTATATATTTGAATCAGGACTGCAGACACGGCAGAAGGTATCGATGCCATGGATTTGAATTTTTCGTGACTCTCTCATAACAGGAGAGTATCATTTGCATACCTCCTCGCGTTTCTGTGAACTTGATAACAAGTCTTCTATCTAACAATTTT